TAATAGTTTAAAATGTCATCCCTCCCAGGAAAACATTTCATCCATTCTACATATATTTACCTCCATGCCCTATAATAAACTTACCAAAGCATTTTAGGCAGCCTTTGGGAGGTGGCAGAGGTGGCTTCTGATAGGATGAGACTGTCTCACCATTGACCCCATGACATCTTCCCAATTTACCTACATCACCACCCCGAAGTCTGCTCTTGGATTTCACACTGCACTTGGTTTTATTATCTCCAATTAGGCGTCTTTTCCAAAAGCTCTTAGAGTAATATGATACCACCTGAGGATGCTCAGTATAGATAAACTATTCGTTTAGGACTTTCATATGTTCCCAGTTTCCTAGGAAGTTTCCTCAATGCTCACGCCCTCACATCCTGACCACTGTCCCTGGGATAAGTCACTTGGAGGCAGCTGTTCTCGGGATCCCCAAAAGCCTGAAGCAGAACAGGTTCTGAGGCAAAATCCTCTATAATTATATTTTAAAACAGTAGTTTTATCCCAGTTCCTTGGGAGACCAAGGCAAGTGGATCACCTGAAGTCAGGAGTTCAAGACCAGCTTGGCCAACATGGTGAAACCCAGTCTCTATTAAAGATACAAAAACTTAACCGGGCATGGTGGCAGACACCTATAATCCCAGTTACTTGGGAGGCTGGGGCAGGAGAATAGATTGAATCCAGAAGGGGAGGTTATAGTGAGATGACATTACACCACTATATTCCAGCCTGGGCAACAGAGTGAGACTCTGTCTAAAAAAAAATAAAAATAATACAACAGTAGTTATAAGATGTTCTTCATATATTCACACAACAAATATTTATTGAACTTTACTGTATAGTATTCCTACTACCATAAAAATATCAGTAAAAGAAGATATTGCCTTTGCCCTTGGACAGGTCATAGTCCAGGAAGTGAGACCTGCAAACAAGTATAATAAAATACGCTACAGAAAGCTGTAAAACAAACAAAGATAATACACAATGGGAAGATAGATAAAGAAGTAAAATTCTTCTGCCAGGAGGAAGGGAAAACAGGGTTCAGGGAATACTTCAGAGAGTTGATGCCAACTCTCTGATGTTGGGCCTTGTGAGATATTAACAACCTCCTCCTCCTCCTCCTCTTCTTCTTTTTAATTGACTTTTATTTTTTACAGAGGTTTTATGTCAACAGGAAAAGTAAGTGGGAAACTTCCTACATACTGTCTATCCCCACACAGGCACAGCCTCCCCAACTGTCAACATCCCATACTAGAGTGGTACATTTGTTACAATTGATGAACGTACAATTACACATCACTATTACCCAAAGTCCATAGTTTACATTAACAGTCACTCTTGATGTTGCACATTCTGTGGGTTTTGATAAATGTATAATGACACGTGTCCACTATTGTAATCTCATATAGAATAGTTCACTGCCCTAAAAATCCTCTGTGCTCTTTTTTCATCCCTCCCTCCCCACTAGCCCCTGACAACCATTGCCCTTTTTATTGTCTTCATAGTTTTGCCCATTTTCGAATGTCATACACTTAGAATCATACAGCCTTTTCAGATTGTGTTCTTTCACTTAATAATACACATTTAGGTTTCCTCCTTTTTTGTGTTTTGCCGGTTTATTTCTTTTCAATGGCATATGATGTTCCATTTTTGGATATACAAAAAAAGTTTACTTACCTACTGAAAGACATTTCCGTTGCTTCTAATTTGGACAATTATGAATAAAGCTGCTATACAAACTTTCTTTTTAAAAAAGTTTTTATTGAAACGTAATTTATTTACTATACAATCCACTCACTGAAAGTATACCACTCAACAGCTTTGAGCATATTCACAACGTTGTGCATGCATCACCACAATCAATTTTAGAACATTTTCATCACCCCAAAAAGAAACTCTGCTTCACTTAGCCTTCACTCTTCAATATTTGCATTCCTCCCTATGTTACCAGTAATCTACTTTCTATCTCTATCTATTTTTCATTTCTAGACATTTCAACTAAATGGAATCATACAATATGTGGATTTTTGTGTCTGGCTTCTCACCGTGATGTTTTCAAAGTCCATTCATGTTGTAGCATGTATTAATACTTCATTTTTCTTTCTATGGACAAATGACACCCCATTGTATGGATATATCATGTTTTGTTTATCCATTGATTTAGTTGGTGAACATTTGAATTGTTTTCACTTTGGGGCTATAATGTTGCTGATACAGGAGTTAAGAAGAAATTACCTAGGCAGATAATAGGGGTATGGGAGTCCTCAGTAAATCTTTTCTTTTTAAAGAGAAGCAGCCCCAAATCATTTTCTAACAAGGAGCAGCCTGTAAATTTAAGCTACAGACATAGACAAGCAAGCTTGGAACTTGCACAGATGAATGCTGGCAGGAACTAGGGGACTAGACATGTTCAAGATGGTGGCTCCATCTTCTTTTCTCTGTCAGCCACATGTACAATAAGGAGCAGAGAAGATGGCACCGATCAACTGGAAAGCCCATTTGCGTAATAAGATTAGGTTGGGGCAACCAGCCTTGCTCATACACTATGTAAACGTCATACCTGATTGAACCAATCTGTGAGCCCTATGGAAATCAGACACAGCCTCCTCAAACCTGACTATAAAATTTGGTGCATTCGCTGCCAGCGCCAGTCTTTTCCACTTGGAGACTCTTCTTTTTTTTTTTTTTTTTTTTTGAGACAAAGTGTTTTTTCTGTCGCCCAGGCTGGAGTGCAGTGGCCGGATCTCAGCTCACTGCAAGCTCCGCCTCCCGGGTCTACGCCATTCTCCTGCCTCAGCCTCCCGAGTAGCTGGGACTACAGGCGCCTGCCACCTCGCCCAGCTAGTTTTTTGCATTTTTTAGTAGAGACGGGGTTTCACTGTGTTAGCCAGGATGGTCTCGATCTCCTGACCTCATGATCCGCCCGTCTCAGCCTCCCAAAGTGCTGGGATTACAGGCTTGAGCCACCGCGCCCGGCCTTGGAGACTCTTCTTGGTCTATAGAGAGAACTGTTTCTCTTTCTCTTATCTTCTGCCTATTAAACCTCTGCTCCTAAACTCCCCATGTGTGTCTGTGTTCTAAATTTTCCTGACACACGATGATGAATGCCAGGTCATATACCCCAGATAATGTAGCCCCTTCAAACTGGGGGCTCATGTCTGATACCAAGGTACAACCTTCATCGACATGGTGAGTAGAGGAGCAGACTCTAACTCTGTCCTTTCATTTCAAGACTCTCGGCCTTCATTTTAGAACCAAATCAAACCAAATACTGGGACCCCTTCAGCCATTTTAAAACAGTTAGCATGGCTGCCAGCCTTACGGGATTTAGCGGACAGGCTTACAGAGAAGAACATGGAGAATCCCCCCAGCATCCACAGGTCACTGATTCTTCACCTCCACAAGTTCTTCACCCTGAGCTTCATCCCAATTTTGTGCTTCTTAAAGCCTTCAAGAAATCTGAATTATTTCTGCAATCCCAAGCTTCAGACACTGCAGGGTCAGTAGCATAAGCATGGACAGGTAAACAGAAGGATGGTTCACTGAGCGAGCTGTAGTGGACATCTATTTTGATTTGTTTTGTTTTGCTTTTGTTTTGACACCAAGCATTCACAAATTTTTCTGGAAAACCTACCTGAAGTGACCTCTAGAAAGCTCACCTCATTTATTAGTCCCAGTCTGTATAAATGGAGTAGCCTTCTCTTCAGACCTCTAATATTTTAAGGGTGTATATGTGCACACTCTTAGCCATAAGGAGCATTCTGTAAAGATTCATAGCCAGCCTCCAAATATCTCTAACCCTCATGCGTAGTCAAGGACTCGCCTCTGGATCATGAGCTGCAGGTGTTCTAGACAATATCTGTTATATTCCACTAAGCCCATGAAGATCATAAGTGACACGTCCATCCTGATAGGTGCACCATATACACTAAGGGAAGATCTTGCATGTTGCCATCAACATGGCTAGAAAGAAGGCGCAAAGATCACCTTCTCTAAAGAGAGGGATGCTGTGTTAACAACATCCCTGCAGATACTGTTTTAGTCCTGAAACAATAGCCCCATGGACACTTCTGCCAAAATGGCATCTGTCAGCTTAGCAGTGCCCTGGTAAACCTCAAGGGGGTGGTGCCTAGATCCAGATTGACAAACGGTCCTGATATGGGCATGATGGGACATAAACCTTTTTCCACTAGCATGACCATCCTTTCCTAGCTTCACTTTTTTCTTACTTTCTCATTCATTATAAGACATCTTTTCCTTACTCTCAGCTATATTTTACCCTAGGAGGTAGGTGGTTGTCTGGTCAACATTCCTACCACAGATAGCTAGGTGATGTTTTTGCTCTGTGAAAATTTCATCAACCCAGGCAGCATGGAGAAATACACAGGGAAGGGAACTACTTCCCCAAGTGACTTATTAGTAGAAAGACCTCAAAGTGAAGGTCAAAATGTGCTTCCCTAAATCATGAGGATGCCCTGCTTTTCAAACTCTTAAGCAGCATCCACAGTGTTCCTGATACCCTGCCCCAACCAGCAATACCCCAAACACTACCACCAACTTACATAATGCTGTGGTCAGTGACAACGTTTTTTAAACAGTGATTAAACCCCTATTTCTGAAAAACATACCTGTCTTTGACCCTCTCTTCAGATATGCAAGGCCTGCCTTCCTACTGCTCTAAAGGACATGAAGCAGTGAATGGGGAGGAAGGTGCAGGCTGCCATACGGTATCAGTGAATCTCAAGCAAAGAGGTAGAAAAGAGCTCATCTCCTCAGACTTCATCAGGGAGAAAATGGACCTTTGGAGGCACGTGATACTCATTCCTCCACAAGAGCTCCAGAGGATTGGTCACCTTTTAAAAGTCAAATGAGGGAGTCAGTAAGAGCTGAACTAACTCCTACCTTTCCCTAACCACAAGCTTCGGTTGCCCAAAACCTATACCTCCCAACACAATACACAGAAAAGACACCAATCTCATTAGAACATTTATTAGGGAGAGTCAAGGTTCTCAACAAGGAGTGAATTATTTTGTGGGGGAAAATTTTCCTCTCTGGAAATGCTTCGGAAGCGTTTTCTGTCCAGTTGGTAAAGGCACATCACTGAACACAGTGCTTTTAGCACTGGTTGGGACAGCTGGACACACCAGGGTGACATGACACCAACAAGTGGGGTTTGAATGTGGCATAGGCTTCCTGTGGGGCATGGATGGGGGATGGCTTTGACACAATATCTTCCCCTTAAATGCCTCAACTTTCTCGGGCTGTCTGTACTTGTCTATGATCTGTTTAATCATTATAGGATAATTCTGGCCAACGAAGATAGCTTGTTGGCTGCAGGATTTGGTACATGTCACTTTGCGGGAGGGAGCTGTGCAGTTGTGGGGATAGCCTTGGACAGGCTCTGCTCTGCCCTCCACATCTGGCCCATGCTTAGCTTTCCCAAGTTATACTGGGGAGGCAAGGGGCTCTTGGGGACAGGTGACATCTATCCCATGCCTATGCCACAGCTTCTAGGAACTCCCCAGTGTCTTTCCTAATTTTCTGAGCTTCAGTAGTCCCAGTAAAAGCAGCTCTACTTGTAACTCGACCTCTATTCTGCACAGATGATGACAGGGAGCTATCCTTTGCCTGGGAACTTTCTTGTTCTTCATATGTTATGTTGGGTTTATTAAACTGCTGCAAAAAGGTCTTCATCCACTTTCTGAAAAGGTTTTCAGGAGGAGGCTGTGTTTTCAAGGTTAGGGAAGATTTGCTCCCAAGCAACTCCCTTGATGTCTTGTTATCAATAGCGTGGCTCTTTCTCCTGAGTTGGGATAGTTGGGATGTCCCGAACCCTGCATCCCCTCCACCAACCTCTCCTCCCTTGGGTCTTAGAGGGCTCACTCTCTTTGTAACTGGTGAAAAATTCTTAACTTGGCATTTCTGTAAGACATGGGTAGGGACCTGGGTTCCTGCTGCTGTGCCGCACAGATCCCTCTGTCCTCCAAGTGGACATGCAGCACCTGGGAAGTTTCCATGTCCCGACTTGAAATGCCCTGGGGATGAGTCAGTAAGTCCTTGGAACTCAAGTTATCTAAGGCAAGAGACATGTCAGTGAAATGGCTCTGAAGTTGGCTATCCTTTCTCTGGACCAACTTTAACTGACTCAGCATCTGATTTTTAAGATATGATATTTAGGATCTTGGGGAACTGATACTCTTGGTGGGAAAATTTCAGTTTCATGAGATGTGCTTGTTTTTACATTTGTCTCTAAGCAGCTTCCTGACTTGCTGGATGTCAAGTTGTTCCTATTTTGTGATTGAAGAGCACAGCTCTCCTCTTCCTTGAACATCTCCTTCGACCCATTGGTGACAGGAAAGGTCTTTCTACTGCCCTGAAGCCTGTTAACATTACTGGCACTCTCTCTCATCCCTTGACTCACGGCCAACTCCAGCTTGCATTATGGGCAGCTCTGTGCTGCACCTACTGGCCAGTATAGTCTGTTTCTGACTGACTTCGTCTATGATGCTGTGTGCGGGGGACAGAAAAGTCTGTCCGCCATCCTCAGTTGTTGGGACACTTTCTGTAAGATCATTGTCAGTATCAGCGAATTCTCTTTTCAGGGTCTCCTGCTTTTCTTCATCAATAGGTGAGGAGACCAGTTGAGGATGACCCAGGGTGGAGAATGAGCTTGTTGTTTCTAACTTTTCTCCTTGAAAATCTGTAGTGCCTTTTCTAAGGGGCATGGAGGCCCCATCTTTAGAATCTGTCTCTATAAGGTCATGGTCAGCATCAGTAAATTGTCTTCCTAGAGTCTCCGGTTTTTCTTTGCCAACAGGTGAGGTGACATGATGAGAATTATCGAGGACAGGGACTGAGCTTGTTGTTCCCAACTTTCCTCCTTGGAAAGTGCTTTGTCTATTAGAGTTAGAGACCCCATCTTTGGTATCTCCCCAAGAAATGAAGGTGGCTGAGGAGGGAAAATTGAAATGGGAAAAGGAATTGGAAAGGTCCTCTTTCAATTTGAAGATTTCCATGTATTCCAGGACCTTGTGGGGAACGCCCCACAGCATCTTCATATGGGAAGATTTAATATGAGTTTCAAACATCTTTTGTTTGTTGGAGCTAAGGAAAGAAATCTCCTGGGAAGTATCAACGCCATGGTCCTCACTCACCAATGCTGCCATATTTCGATGTTTTATTTGGCTGTGGGATTCCTCAGCAAGAGACATTGACTGCTTGACTGAATGCCATGAACTATGCATAGTCCCAGGCATTCGACCCTCATTGATTTCCTCAAACTTCTTGCTCAAATGTACTGTCAGGGCATTTTCAACTTGTTTCTGACCTAGGCTCTCCCCACACACTTTCCTGCACTTTCTGCAACACGTTACACTCCAGAAGATTAATTTCAGATGGCGTAAGAGACCATGCCTCATTCTAGGAACTATGAAAACACACTCCACAGATCCTAATCAGGAATAGAGGACTAGGTAGTAGGGCTGGGAGTGGAGATTGATGTTGATCGTGGGACTGGACCTGAGTGAGATGTGGGGACTGACCTTAGGGCAGGGTTTGAGGCAAGGGTAGAGCTTGGGTATTAGGCAAGGACAGAGGTTGGGGAGGTGGAAGTACTTGGGATTCCTGGGATATAGATGTATTTGTAATGCCATTGAAGAATACAAACATGGAGGAACGGCCACGTTGGCCAAGAACGGTAGGGTGAAGAGACTCGCTGTGCAGAGATGGGAGACCCCAGAAGAGCTGCACATATTTTTGTTCTAAATGGTCCTCAAAGCACTTAGAGTATGGGGGCTGCTGATGGGTGTGCTGCCCCTCTAGTTTGCCTTTACTAGCCCAAAAAGTAAGGGAGGCTGCCAAGTCATGCTTATCAGCAATTGAGGCTAACATTTTCCGTGAAGACTTTAGCTGGTAGTTTGGCCTAAGTTGTGTTGGGAAAGATCCTGCTTTGTTTTCATTTTCTTTCCACATGAGGAGATCACACCTTTTTTTGACTTGTCTCTCCAAGAGTGCCAGAATGTCATGACTGACAAAGGAGATGTTAACAGGCTGTATGAGGTTGGCCACAGAGTGCCACCCTAAAGAGGCCTCAGAAGAATGAAGGGTAAGAAGCTCCTCCATGAAATCAGATGGCACAAAATTGGAGGAAAAAGAGTCCTTGGCATGAGGCTGCCACCAGGAGAATTCTGAAGATGCAGGGCATGAATGGTCAATGCCTTTGATTGTTGGGGCATAGGTGGATGTCTCACCAGAGCCACCTAGAGATAACATCTCCAGAAAAGGCTTCAAGATGGTGAGTCTTGATTTCAACGGAGTCACAGTGCAGTCTTCTGATGGTAAAGCAGATGGGATTGGTGGTTTGTGATGATGAGCACGCGAATCAGTGGAATTCATGGCCTGGGAAATATCTTGGCATATGGTGGAGTCAAGTGAAAAGGTGGTGTTCAGAGACATACTGGCCACAGGATAGAGGTTGGGCTCTGCTCTCTGAATGTGATGTTGTGGGAGAAGGGGAAAGGGAAGCTCTTCGGGTGGGGAATGGTCTACGGGGAACTTGGAATCCAGGGGAGAAACAGGCTATGGTGGCAGAGGGTCCCTCAGTGATGAGGGTGAAAACAAGTCAGTTAAGGACGTGATCAAGTCAGGTGAGAGAATTAACTGGGGCAGTGGAGAAGGCTTAGGCCGAGGGGACAATATTAGGTCTTCTGGAGGGGTTGCTGAGGGGGTGGAAGACAGAGTGAACGATGACTCAGTTGCAGAAGCTGCAGAAGTCAAAGGAGACACAGAAGGAGCAGCATCTTTCAGGGACTCCCAAGACAGCAGTCGCTGGATATCAGCAGTTGCTCTGTTACACACCTGACAGAGGGGGTCTGGGCATAACAGTCGACGAAAGCGGGTGGTATCATGATGCTGGCCCAGGAGACCGCAGGAAACAGGAGGTCCAAAGCTGCAGCCAGAACCAGAACAAGGAAAGGAGGGTCTATTAGCCTGGCATGGGTGGGGCCCCCTGAATCCTGCTGCCCACTTCACATTGCCCCCCTCCCATGACTTTCCCATATATGAGGTCATATGACCTCACTATAGCCTCTCCACAAGCATTCATTCACATACCTGTTCCTATGGCTACCCACTCCCAAAACTACAGCAGCCTACAAGGAATCCCTGAAATGAATAAAACATGAAAAAAAAAAAAAAAAAAAAAAGAGGGGGTGGGAACAGGACAGAAGGGGAGTGATTAATCACCTTTTCAGAATAGAAAGCAGCTTCCTTTCCTCTTCTACTTCCCTCTGGAAACTTTTGCCGTCTGGGAAAACAGAACAATATATTATATGCAATGAACGTAGAGGCACAGGAATCATACAGAAGTCACTCTGTGGAAGACCCTTGGGATATTAAACTCTGATAGCCCCAAGAATCAGTAGGAAAAGGCAAATAGTTATTGATAATATTCACAAGTTCTCATCTGTATTTGGCATCATTAGTAAAGTCCTTTCATATACATTACCCCATGTGATGCTCAAAACCACCACATGAAACACAGACATCAGTGGTTACCTCCAGGAGGAATCTGAGCATCAAGTAAGTTAAAGTACTTTTGCAAAGTTGTGAGACAGAAACTGTGTCTCCAAGCCAACCAGTAGTCCTTCCTCAATATCGCAGTTGGCCACCAATTGGGCAACACCCATTACTCAGGTCCATCACTCCATCATGCTCATGAATGGGCAGAGCAGGGACTATGAGTAGTGTCTCGTGTCTGATTGCTTTCCCATGAGCCTGTCTTCTGAGGGCGTTTTCTGAAACTATCTAGTAACTGACATTCTAAGAAATCATGGGACTGACTCCTCATGAAAGAGACAGGAAGGGTCACCCTGAATCTCAGATAGAGCAGGCTGGCATTACCTTTTAATGTTCCACCTTTCCTTCTCCTCCTGGGTCTGCCCTGATGCTGAGAACAAAAGAAAGATAATGACAGACTGGGACACACTTCTCTCACACTCTATGAACCTCATTCATTTATTTATTCATTATACAAGAATTATATGACACTATAATTAATAGAAATATGATCCTGTTGTCAATTTTTGAAGGTGATAAAATATTTCCTGTTTTTCCTTCTCTGAAAAGCTGAAAGAGGATTTCTTCTGTGAGAGCCACACTTGATGTGCTGAGTTAGAAGTCCTCATCCAGGGCACAGACTCAGAGTCCAACAGTCACATCTGTGCTCCCTCACAGGACAAGTGTCCCAGAGACAGACCCCTGGCTCCAGCCTCTGCTCAGAGACTCTCAGCATTACTCCCCTGGTCAGCCCAACATGAAGGAAGGCTTTGTTGAATGACAAGTGACATGGGAATGCGACTCATGACCAAATTTCAGCAGAGACTGTTCTCCTTCAGAGAGCCCATACTCTCTAAATAATCCCATCTGGGACCACAGAATTATTGTGTTTAGGATTTTATCCTGGAACTCTCCACCACAGCCAGATAGGTAGTCTATGAGCTACAGATGGAAACCTTAGTCCACCTGAACCAATAAGTCTGCCCAACCTCTTCCACAGAAGAGTGAAGCTCTATCCTCTCTTCAGACTTCCCATGTAAGACATGTCCCTGAACCAACCAGACTTATTTAGGAATGTGGGAATAGGTTTGGGAAACAACAACAGGGCATCTCTCTTGGGTGTTCACCCACAGTTCCTTACCTTTTGGATGTCATTATTTTTTTCACTGGGTGACAAATACAGGATCAATACCACATAGAACAAGTACAGTATAAACAACCCCAACCCACTCAAGCAAATGAAGGTGGGGTCAATATCCAAGTAATGTGAGTCAGGGCTCAGCCCTGTCTCAATATAGCTGCTCAGAAAACAGAGGATATTCTCCATGATCTGAATAGCTCGGCTGCCTGAAGCAACTGAGCACTGAGGATGCCCAGGCTTAACTATAAACCCAGGCCTGCATCACAGAGCTTGGAAGAGTCACAGAGGGTTTCTGAGGGTGGAGGGAGCAACAAAAGGGGGGTGTGTCCACAGCCCCAACCCCACCAGCACAGCCGACTCTCCTGGGCTCTCTGGGTCCCTTTGCCCTATCCTGCCACTCCATTTCCCAAGTCTATCCTTTTTCATGTCATATATTTATCTTAGTGGAATTTTCAGTTTGTTCCAGCAGTAAACCAGGCATTACCCAAGTCTCGCTTTACTGTTTGGAGCCCTTAACTTGGACCCCACCAAGTACACTCCCTTGAAAGCCTGAAATACTGCCTGGAATATTTGTTGTACCCAGGCTTTGCTACTCTCAGGATCACATATGTCCTCAAATCCATCTTATCTACACAATATTTTTGCCTTACATAAATGCAGATAGAAAACTTAAATTTGCTTTATATTTATTTCGTTTGGTGAATGTTGAACATTACTTTTTTTTTTTAAGTCAGTTTTTACAATTTCCAATCAGAGGGACTGTCTCAAATGATTAAGACTAATGTTAGCAAGCCGGGCGCGGTGGCCAAAGCCTGTAATCCCAGCACTTTGGGAGGCCGAGACAGGCGGATCATGAGGTCAGGAGACCGAGACCATCCTGGCTAACCCGGTGAAACCCCGTCTCTCCAAAAAAATACAAAAAAAAAAATAGCCGGGCGAGGTGGCGGGCGCCTGTAGTCCCAGCTGCTCGGGACGCTGAGGCAGGAGAATGGCGTAAACCCGGGAGGCGGAGCTTGCAGTGAGCTGAGATCCGGCGACTGCACTCCAGCCTAGGCGACAGTACCAGACTCCGTCTCAAAAAAAAAAAAAAAAAAGACTAATGTTAGCAAGGAAAAGAAGCTCACAGCCCAATTTTGGTTTTTGAGAAAAGAAGTTTTTTATTGTAAATTAACCAACAAGGAGTCAGGAGTCCAGCTCAAATATGTCCCCTGTGCTGGCTTTCATGTGGTCATTTTATTAGAAGAGGTTTAGGGGGTGGCCTCTGGAATTAATAGTTGATTGGTGGAAGGAAAGGGGAGGTCTGAAAGTCCTCAGCATGCACAGTTTAGTTTAACGCTCCTTCATGTATAACATGTGCACTTTTGTGGGGAGTTGGTTGAAATGTGGCAGAAATTTGGGCTGTGACATCAGCCAGCTTGTTCTGTGCAAACTCCAGTTGGCCTTAATAGTTTTAATCCATTTTAGCCAATTTTTAAATCTCAGAAGCAGGGAGAGTTCTGGCATTTTAGCAAGTTATTGTTGTTTTTGTTGTTTAATCGGCTATCCTGTAAACTGATTAATTTTATTAGTCATTGGTTTCTTCAACTCTCAGGGGCATGGTTTCACTAATAATTCATCACTTAACATCTACAAAATGAAAATAAATGTACAATAAATGTATATAATTAAAATTTCAAGGGATCTTAGGTGTAAATTTATAGAACATTTTTTTCTAAAGTTAGTGAAGTTTAAACTGTTCAAGCACTTTTGGAACATACTCTGTACACAGACACACATACTCCTTGACATAAAGGAAGAAGCTGATGGAAAATTATTATAAGTAGGGAGTTCATTTGGGTCAAGCTTGAGGATTGCAACCTGGGAACACAGATGTAAGTCGACCTAAATATACACTCCAATTAGCAGCAGTTACAAGTGGGTTTTTAAGTCAAAAAAGGGGACAAGGAGTGAGCTGATACAAAGTTGTAATCAGGAATTCTCATTGGTTTACAGAAGTGACATAGATTAATGATTGGGTATACATTGTTAAGCTATAGGGTGTGGGTTGTAGTGTCAGATGTGGCATTACTGGGTTACTATGTAACTCCATGTGGCAATAGCAAGCAGTTTCAAGAGATGAATACATAGCTCAAGGAGGAGATACGGCTGTGATTTCTGTCTCATTTTAATGTCTCTCTAGGCCTGATAACTTAAAAGGACTCACAGTCCTCAGATAAAATTCTTTTCTTTACAAACACATCCACACACTCATCCTGTGACAAATCAATCAATATATCCAAAACCAGAATCAATTAGTTCCTCCATTTATTTCAGTCTCTTATTTGTCATTTTGAGCCCACATTTTCTAACTACCTCAAATGCA